TTGCGTGCGCAGATCGACTGCTGTTCATCAGCAGTTCGGGTTCGTTCAGTGTGGAGCTTTAGTTTTTTAAAATTTTAATGACCTCTAGCCTTTCATTCTAAAGTCAAATCAAACGAAGAAAACAATCACCCTTTCCCCCGGAAGAGGTTTTTTGTCAGCGTAACCATTTTAAAAAAGCGTTCTTCCGAAATTCATTCAAAAGCTTGCTAGTTTCACTTTGATTTTTTAAACTCAAGTAGAATAACTCTGTTCGCAAAAGGTGCGCTTATGCGAAGAGGGCGCCACTGAATTTTGAGGACACTTTTTCAATTGGCTCAAAGAGAGGAGTGGCCCCTCTTGTTATGTAGACTCTTTGGACATACTTTATTGGAGCTCCTGCGGACAGTACTTTTTCATCATCTACAGCAGGGGACTGAAACTCACGGCCCGCGGGACAATTGAGGCCTGCAGGACAATATTTCGCCGCCCTTACTGATCATCAAAGATTAGTGATAGTGCGGCACGGCACGTATGTTTTTCTTATATGTACCTTTTTCAAATTTTTGTTGAGAGGCCTATGTTCTGAACAACCCTTCATTTTCTGAACGGCCGTTGAGAATATTAAATAGTTGCACTTTTTTTTTTAAACACTCTTGAAACCTTTTATTTCTTTTTAGTTTTTAGTTTAGTATGGGGTTTTACGGCGCTCGCAACTGCATAAGGTCATATGAGTGCGCTTTACTTTTTTGTGGAATGCTTAATGCAACCCACGCTCCCCTAGACCCTATCGCAAGAGGTCCCCGGATTATTTGAGTTCGAGTCCCCTGATCTAGAAGGAGAGACCAGCCGCAAGTGGCAGTGACAATCATATGTGTCCCGACGTGGTGAAATCAGGCGCTCGTCAAAACAATGAAACAAAAGAGATCTGCATTTTTCCAACGGTTTGGCAATTTTTGTCGAATTTTTGTTTATTGGTTCACCACTTTTTACGTCCTTTTGAAAAAACATTTCTGTGTGGATGTTACTGAAAAGCATTGATTTAACGCAACAAAAATTGTATATTTTTAATTTCCAAGGACTCTCAAGCTTTGGAAATCACCTAACTTTACGGACATTTTCTCGCTAATTTTATCTCTGAAACCAGGCGACCCCAATCTACTTCAATGCAAATATCTCGACTTCTGCTCAAGATACACGGGTATCTTTTTTCATCAAAAGCAAAATAAATAACCAATAACTCCACATGCCCAAAAATTGACAAGCGCCTGATTCCACCGTGTTGTGACACATATATTGAGCGGTTGACCTACATCAAGAGTCATAAAGTGACAATATTTGGGTTTGAGCGGAAGTGAAGAGAAGCGAGCTACCGGTACATCCTTCGCCTTTTTCTCTCACAACATTCAGGCCACACCAGGACCCTGGGAGAAAGCAAGGCGGTCAGAGTCAAAAGACGATGAAAAAAAAGAAGCGAGATCTACTCATACTCATAGTCACACCTTGCAACTACACCAGAGCATCAACCAATGACATACATTGCTAAAGTACATGTAAACCCAACCCATCCTTCTGTCTCTCTCCCCCATCCTCCTTCTCTCTCATCCATCCTCTTCCTCTCTCACTTACAACGCTCCCCTCTCTCTATTCCTCATCCATCTATCCTCTCCCTCATCATCCAACCTTCTCTCTCTCTCTCTCTCTCTCT